GGGGGGGGGGGGGGGCGGGGGGGGCGGATGACTCATACTAGCCATGGCTTGATGCAGGTGGCCCATGGCGGCGCCCAGGTGGGGGTGGGCATGGGCATGAGGGTGGATCGGCGCGGCCATGACCGCGCCGTGCTCGGGCCCTCCCAGCAGCGCGGGCGAGAGGTGATCCAGGAGCTCCCCGTCCAGGCCTTGGTGAGCCACGGCATGGTGGTGGTGGTGGTGGTGGTGATGGTGAACTGGGGCCGAGATGGGCACGGTGGGCGACGAAGTAGAGGTGCAGGGGACGCTGCTCATGGTATGGTAGGTGGTGTCTGGCTTGAAAGGGTGGCTCTTGCCGTGGGAGACCAGATCCACAGCCGCCAAGGCTTCAGCCCGGGCCAGCAGACTCTCATCAAAGCTTCCAAATATATTGCCCTGGAGCTGCAAGCAAGAACGCGCAGAGCGGAGTCAATGGGGAATACTGTCAAGTCTGGATTCAAAAACATCTCTCTCCCTCTCTCTCTCAAAAGCGGAGCGATTCCTCCTCAAAGCTCAGGTCATAAAAATTAATATGAAGACAGAAGATGCTTTGCTTGAATAGACATGTGGATCTGGGGGCGTGGGGGGTAGAGGGAGCGAGAGAGAGACGCGATTGTTCTGGTGACATGAAAAAAACATTAAGCCAGGGCCTGTCAAAAATGTGCCTTAAAGCAGTAATTATGCTTCATCTACATACCTGCGGGGCTGGGAGGCACACGCGGCGCATCGCCTCCGAGCTAGAGTACTTGGCTTCCTGCAGGGCCGGGTGCATGCTGAACGGCTGCTTGGCGTTCATACCCATCATCTTGGCGCACCTTGCAGGTAGACAGCCCCTGACATCGAGTCAGGGTTGGCTCTCTGGCTGGCGACTGTCAAAGTGAGCTATTTTCAATGACACAGCTTCCCTCCCCCTCCCCGCGCCTCGCTCTCTCCCGCCCGCCCGTTTCCATCCCGGTTTCTTCACTCATCTTACAAGCCGCCTGCTTGCGATGGGACCGGCACCCCCTGTGCGCAGGCGTGCTCGGGCTGGCACAAGGGAAGGCGAAGGGAGCCTCAGAGGTGTAAGCCGCGCGGGCAAGTGGGCTCCGCTTCCCCAGTCTCAGCCCAGAAAGCGGAGTTTCTGCCAAACTCAGAAAGAAAGCGCTAATGACCCTGACGGAAAAGTTTCCGGTCGAAGGAATTGACCGGCTGGAATCAATTAACACCAGCTTCCGATTCCAAGGGCTGCCAATCTTCCGCGCCCTCTTCCCATCAGCCCGCGCTCGGCGTAATTCACGAAAAGGGCCTTCGTGGAATGTCCCTTCTTGGTCCGGTCAGTCCGACTTGAGAAACAGGCGCAGATCTTGGGGGGGGGGGGGGGGGGGGAGACCGGGGCCCGAACGCGGGGGTTGTAGCCACGCGCGCTCTCTGGAGCCGGCCGCGCTCTAGAGCCTGAGGTTTAGCGCGAGTGGGGTGGTGGGGAGTCACTCTCTCGCCCCTGGAGTTTGTTGAAAACCGGCGTCAGTACGTTCTTGTGTCTACTCGCGAGGCTGCATTTTAACCTCAAGTGATCAAACCCTTCCCCTTTGGCTCCCCCACCTCTCAGTTCACCCACTCCTTCGCTGCCCGCGCCCCTGGCTTCTGCCGGGATCGCGGCCAATATAGTTCTTTCTCCGAAACAATCGCAGCTTTGGTTTCCATTCTTGTTCTCACGTTCTCTCCTGGATTTCATAGTCAAGATATATTAAACGAGCCTTGACGAGTAATACTGCCCGATGAGGTTTAAACTACATAAACGTCTGGAGACTTTGCCGTGTTTCGTGGGAGGCTCCTTTGAAGTGCAGCAGGTCCTCAAGTCCAGCCTATTTGCCCCAGACTTTACCCCATAGACTTGCACAGCAGAGAAGCAGCTGAGTCTCCTGACAAGGCACCGAGGTGAGGAACTCTTTCTGAATTATAAGGAGTAAGGCTGTGAGGGAGATGTTTCATCCCTGCCCATTAGGACTGCAGGAAAGGAGGACTGTCCCAGAAGGTGTATTCCATTAACTGAAGACACCTTCCCCAGACGGACCAGTCTCTACAATATTTGCCTGAGCTGTGGATAGGGACAAGTCAAAAGTGGGGTAGTTACTTTGGTAGAATTACTCTAAATGAAGGAAAGTTTGGACCTTGAAGCCCAGATGAGTCAGGGCTCTTCCATGGATAGACTGAAGGAGAGATCAGTAAGTATAGGGAATCCCAGTTTATCATTGCCAGATGTGGCCATGAACTCCATAACTGCCCCAACTATCTGCAATTATTAGTTTTCCATATTTTCTGCCTTCAACATTTTCTCTTTATTTCCTAAAGTCGGCCTGTTCGATAAAGGGAGTTCTCTATTTCTCCTTCCCCCAACCGATTAAAGTGGGGCCATGTACTTTTGTGCTTTGTCTTCCTTTTGGAAACCAGCAAAAGTAACCAGAGAGGCCCCCTTCCTAATGGAAGGGTCAGCCTGACAATGCTGCCAGTCACATCAGCTGGCCCCAGATTTCCCAGACCAAAGGAACTGCTCTCCTCCCCCTGCCCCTCCATCCCAACATGAACATTTAGCATGGCAATGGGAAAGCAGACTGTCCCTATCTGAGATGGAACCAGTATGTGATATTGATGGGGTAACGCTTGATGGTTCCACTTTCCACTGAGCCATCAAAAGCATAAGGTCCAGGTCAGCACTTACAGGTCTCAAAGTCCAAACTGGTCATGGCAGGGTCCAGGCAGCTGACCCATGAAGAAAGCAAAGAAGTGAAGTGATAGGGACTACACTATCTCTGAGATCCCAGAAGTTTACTCGGTGAAGATGATGTATGATGTTTAAAGAACAAAACTCCTTTACAAATATACATTATAGACAGCCATGATTAACCTGGACTCTTTCAGATGATGTTGGACATCCTTTATTCCCATTTGGCCAACTGGTTGGGAAGGCTGCTAAGACAGAGGAAATCAGCAAATTTGAAATTAGGGAAGAAGCAGATAAGATTCTTTGTCCATCCAGTTCAGAGTTGTTACCTCATCCTCATTTGCAACTCTCCAGGTAGGTTTTTCCTACCACCTGCTATACAATCCCTTTTTATATGAAGGTGTTAGAGATTCAGCCTCCAATGTTTTATATGCCTGTTACTGAAATATGAGTTCTTCGTGTCTTCATTTACAGATGAAAGGTTTAAATGTTTCACTTTGTACTAAATAGTAACTCTAAAGTTACACAGAATTCTTATGCTGTCCTAAGGATGGTGTGCTATGTAAACTCAAAATGTCTATTTGTAGTTCAGCCACTAATAAATGTTGCAATTCCAACCTGGCTGTATCATATTGTGACAAATATTGGTTTGGGACAATATAGTATAGGTAACATGTAAACACTTCTATTGGGGCAAGATACAGTGATCTAAGAATGGCAAACCTCTGAGGACCAGAGGCGTATACTGATCTTGAATATTAGATAAAAAGGTAGTTTGCAATCTCTTTATCAAGACATTCAGAGACTACAGTGTACAACCACTTCTGTCTCCCCTTCCTCTTTCATTTGATTTGAAAGCAGGTGTTTTCCTTTTTTTTTTTTACAGCTACAAATAAGTGATGGTTCGTGATCTGATATTCTGTGCAATGGTGTCACGCTTTCACGGAAGATGGATTTTGAATCACAGGGAGGGCTATGGAAGCTCTATAAAGCATTTAGAAAAGTTGTTTGCTGCCTCATCTTAATAATTCCTTTGAAAGACTTAAAAATAGTAAGACTAGAGAAACTTATGGAAAAGAAACAGGAACTTTCCTTTCAGTTTCTGGAGCTCAGAGCCCTGTGGTACTCAGGAATGAGCAAGACACACATCAGTGCCCTTTTCATAGAAGTAGGGCTGCAACTTGCTTTCATGGCCTTGATGTGGTTGTCTAAGGATACAAAGTTTGGTTCTGTTACACTCAGTTTCCACCTCTGACATATGTCCTGTTTCAAGTCTTTTCAAAAGGTGACAGTATCTAAAGAAGAGCAAACCCATTGTTGACTTTACCAAACTAGAGTTGAGGGAGTTGTATGAATGTAGCAGGTTTTCCCAGTATGGTTTGTTTTTAATTCTGACTAACTTCCAGTCCTTACAGCCTTGGGGACAGAACTCTATCCTGATGGGATGTATGGTCTGTCCCAGCAAGTTCTGCTTGGTAATTTTCCATGGGGACCCTCAGCAGCAGCAGCAGCAGCAGCCATGAAGCATCACTCACCTCTAATCTATGATTGAAGGAAGTAACAGACAGGCCGCGGGTGTGTGTGTGTGTGTGAGAGGGGGGCAGGGTTGGTGCCACAACGGCAGGATCTCATAGCTCTACTCTTAACTGCTAGACAATTTTTATCCAGTGCTTTATTTTACACAAGCAACAGATCTTTGTTGGAAGCTTCCTCTTAACTTCAGAAGACTGGAGAGAGAGAGAGTTGTGGGAGAATGGGACATTTCATTTGGTGGGAAAATGTCATTGCTACATGCTCAGAAGATCTTTTATAATGGCTTCGAGTATTTCTAGCTGCGTCCTGGTCCTCAAAATATTAACTAGATCCAGATTTCATTTACTGCCACTTTAGATGCTTTCAACTCTCTTTCCTTTCCACTATTATTGGAAGAGGGATTTACTTCACACAGTTCCTGCTCTAGAAAGCAGCTATCTCAGTTCCCCAAACCAGATGCCATAGCTATTCTAAATCAGTGTGTTCAAGCGGCACACTGACCCCATAAAGTAGTCGACCACATGTGTGCAGTCCCAACTTCTGAAGTTAGTTTATGATTCACTGTGTCATGACAACACACCCCATTAAGTCTTTCTCCACTGCTGAGTTAAAGTGCTATCCACCCATCCTTGAACTGGCATAAAACTGTGTTGGCACGAAATCCCTATTCTGACTCTGTTGCATATGTTTTGAGTCACCACTGAATGATGAGTGTGTTACTTTCACCAGCAACACTGTTGTTTTTCTCCTCTGACGTTGTTGCTTCCTCATGACACCAGCCAGCAGGGAAAGCATCCACCGATTAGGACACCGCGGTGGGAAGGAGCAGGGTCTGACCTTAAACTCTGCTTGGGTTTTTCCGGGCTGGTTTATCTGCTCCTCCTCTCACACGCCATCTAGCCACCTCTCCATATTAAAATACAGTAAAACAAAGGCATGTGTGGAAAGGCACCAGGGCAGAATTAGATGTGAAGAGGATGCAGTCCTGATTGAACAGCTAGCTAGCTCCTGTAGAGAAGAGGAGCTGAAAATTACTAGCTGGCGGGCAACGATTATCTTACTTCAGGTGGAGAAGTGATAGAAAGTGACAAGTAAAGGGAAATAGACAAATTAGCACCGATGTGTTCCTTCTTCCTCCCCAAATGAAAGACTGGAAATCCTGCTCTTTACTCTTCTACCTTGTTGGAAGCTTGGAGACAAGTTGGTATCAAAAAGGGAAAGTTTCTGCGTGTGGCATGTATGAAAAGATTTGGAAAGGGCTAATGGAGAGGACAAACATTGGAAAAGAAATAGCTGCAACAGAGACTGGCTAGGGGGAAAGGGGTGTGTTTATGTTTTCCAACACTCCCAAAGTCACCTCCAGTCCCATCACAACTGGATCAGCTGACCTCTACCCCAAAATATTGTGTATCAAAGCATAATGGATTTTACATATCTTGAGACTGGGATGGGGTCAGAATGAGGGGGAAAATGCTATTATTGTATAATCACAACTAATGACTATTTTAAGCTTGTCTCATGGGGATGAGCTTAAGGCAAACTTGGGAGAACAAGGCAAACAACTGGTGTTTTCA